TGCTACGTTAATGTCAGCACCGGCAGATAGGAGGCGCTGCCATGCTATTTAACTCTCAGTGTCAAAAGAAATCGGGTTTTAGTATAATTGTATTTGCATTCGAGAGAAATTGTTTATCGTCTGCAAGTTTCCGGTATGGTTGTTGGTTTTTATCATTGTTTGATATCTTATAATTTATTCTATTTAATGTTAACTTTTTATGGGTGTGATGAAAACAAACATCAAAGATGTTGTAAATCTGTTTTCGTGTGAATTAGGCGAGCGGTTCTTTGCTTTATTTCAGATCACAACGATGAGCTTAGCTCGCAATATCAACGCAGTGCGATTCACGGGCGACGGAACACGGGTAAGAGAGGGCGCCACGTGTTCTAATCATGTCCAATAAATTCATCTATATATATATATATTCGTTTATACTATAGCCTGATGAAGCGATAGAAATTCTCGGAAGATCGCGTATTAAAATTCAACACCTTATTCCTATTTTTTACATTTATTTTCTTATCTACATGGGTGTTGGTGTGTTCTTACTTCTAATTTCTTTATATATATATATATATATATATATATACTATATATTACCAGGGGTTAATAATGACAAAGGAGTTTGACACGTATTTGGTACTGATTTCACTACATTTTGTCGTACGAGTTCGATGTGAATAAAAATAAAAATGTATACAAATATGAGCTTCTTTTGTTCACTGGTCCTTATTATATCTTCCGGTACTGTATTACAAACCGCGTAGCTTCTTTCGTTTTGACATAAATCGTACTTTTGCACGACATGGTTTTCACGTTATCTACCTTTGTATGACGTTGCCTAACCGCAAATTTTGTACAGAGCAACTGGAAGGAGGCGCGGCAGGGATTTTAGGCCGTAGTCTAGCCGACTGCAGAAAATGCGCGTAGAGAAGCTTACTAGAAATATATAATGAATAATGAAAAAAAGCCTCATCCCATTTGAAAAATGTCTGGACGCAAATCCAAAACTTTCATTCTCATGGCCTAAGGGGGTTGTAAAAAAAGTCGTTCCCAGAAGCAGACGAGAATGTTTGTCTAGCATTATTAATATTAGATTCGTTTCAAGTTTATCTCACAATGTTGAACAAGAGTATTGTCCCCATTACCACGTTCTTATTAGTATTACTGCTGTCAGTCTGATTTTGTCACTGAGATTCATCAACCGTTGTTCATAGCTATAAACAACATCGTTCCTACAGCTATGACAGCCTTCCACTGATCGAAGCATGGAGATCACTCAGAGGTGATAGGATTTCCGTCTGGAGACCTGGGCGATAGTCTTCCCAGCAGGTGGCGCTGCATCATGCATCAGGAGGGGAGACCGCAGTTCCTGCGCTATCACCAGGGTAGCGTACGAGGCGTGGCGTTCAACCCAAAGGTATATCCGTCCTACGTGCAGCAGGAATGTGCTGCTGCTACTTTCCTGTGCGTGGTTTAATCAAAGCATTCCGTTTAATTATAGCATTCATAAATGAGTTGCAATCCTTTAACGTGTATACACGTCGACACGAAATTAGGTGTAGCAATGGATTGCATGCAGATCTGAGCTCTGTTATTCCATATTTACTGTAATAGAAACACCACTTTAATCTAACAACTATGATCTTTTGTTTAGGTGCTACATTTGGATTTTGCAGTTCTATTATTATCTAAAATGTTGTGATTTTGTTCGTTGTTTTTTAGGATCTTATTTTAAATGATGCAGTCCGCTATTTATAATCAGGAATTGTTAACAGGATTGTTCATAATTTTGTATCTCATGTTTTACAGGTGTTGCAGTCCGGCTGTGTTTTATTAATCAAGCCGTTGTAAGTCGCGCCACATGTGAACATGTCTGATGTAATGCGGCGTCAATATAAATCATAAATATTATTCTTAATATTATCTTTGATATATATATATATATATATACACGTGCATGTGCGTGCGTGCGTGCGTGTGTGTGCGTATATGAAATGCATGTAAACATGTGAACCGATGGCAGTGTCATCGTTGCAAAAACGTCGCGTAAAGGCGACGAACGACACGGCCATTATACAAATACAATATATACATCGTAACGATCGACGCACGACGCTTCCAGTCGGTCGTTGTCACGTCACATACGTCGTTACTGCTGCAGGATCGTTACCTCTTCTGTTCGGGGCGCTTACGATGGAAAGGTGAACCTCTACTCCCGCGCAGCGATGCAACCTCTCATGAGCTACCAGGTAGGTGGCGCCACAGTGCTACGATGCTACGTTAATGTCGATGTCAGCAGGTAGGTGGCGCCACGATGCTACGTTTAATGTCGATGTCAGCTGGTAGTGTGGGCGCTCACGAATGCTACGTTCAATGTCGATGTTAAGCAGGTAGGTGGCGCCACGAATGCTACGTTAATGTCGATGTCAGCAGGTAGGTGGCGCCATGATGCCACGTTAATGTCGATGTCAGCAGGTAGGTGGCGCCACGATGCTATGCTAATGTCGATGTCAGCAGGTAGGTGGCGCCACGATGCTACGTTAATGTCAGCACCGGCAGATAGGAGGCGCTGCCATGCTATTTAAGCTCTCAGTGCAAAGAAATCGGTTTTAGTTATAATTTGTATGTTGCGTTCGATGAGAAATTGTTTATGTCTGTCAGGTTTCCGGTATGGTAGTTGGTTTTTATCATTGTTTGTATCTTATAATTTATTCTATTTGAATTGTTAACTTTTTATGGGTGTGATGAAAACAAACATCAAAGAGTTGTAATCTGTTTTCGATGTGAATTAGCGCGAGCGGTTCTTTTGCTTTATTTCAGATCACAACGAGTGAGCTTAGCTCGCAATATCAACGCAGTGCGATTCACGGGCGACGGAACACGGGTAAGAGAGGGCGCCACATGTTCTAATCATGTCCAATAAATTCATCTATATATATATATATTCGTTTATACTATAGCCTGATGAAGCGATAGAAATTCTCGGAAGATCGCGTATTAAAATTCAACACCTTATTCCTATATCTCACATTTATTTTCTTATCTACATGGGTGTTCGTTTGTGTTTTTACTTCTATATATATATTCGATAATGTTTGCAAGGATTATGTCTCGGTACATACATCTTTCTATGTGAAATCAGGATGCGATCAATATCAATATTTTCCCCATATCTTTTACACAAATTAATATTCATTTATGCGTAGTATTTCACGTATATAAATTTGCAGTGCAGTAGTTATGTATGTGTATCGCTTGGTCGCTTATTGTTCCCAGATCCTTGACTTCTTTGCAAAGTCTACGTCTCAGTATATACATCCTTCTATGTGAAATCAAGAAGCAATCGATATAAAATTCCCCCATATTTTGTACGGAATTTTTTATTCATTTATGCGTAGTATTCCACGTATATAAATCTGCAGTGCATTAGTATAGTACGTGCATCGCTCTATCTCGCTCATTGTTCTCAGATCCTCGCGACGACGACGGCGCGTCGGCTTGCCGTCATTGACATAGAACACGGAGAGCAGCTGATGTCCTACGACAACTGTGAGTCGGGCGCCAGTCTACACTCGCACGTCACTGTCGTAGTTGTACGCGCGTACAGAGAGAGCGTGTCTGATTCATCGTTTGTACTAGACGTCAGGCTAGTTTCTGCCTCTGTTTTTGTAGTTGCGATAAAATTTCGTAATACTGAAAATAAAAAAATGATAAATGGTAAAAACTTGCTGCGAACGAGAGGGGAGAGCGGTTTTTCGAGGAGCCGGCTTTCTCGATTCGTTTACGAATCACGAGATGCCGTCGCGACGTTACAGCTTGGAACGTTCACTTGTCTGCGTTGTCGTCGTCTGCAGGCGCGTTCAACGGCAGGGATCGCACGGGATTGGCTGTCGACCCGATCTGTCCCAACATGGCCGTCTGCTGCTGCGTGAACGGGAAGGGCTTGACCTTGTTCGACCTTCGGATGCCTCTGCCTCTCGACTTCATATACGATGTGAGTGTGCTATGTGTATTTCTCCTTCTTCTTCTTCTTCTTCTTGTTTGTCTTCTTTGTCTTCTTCTTCGTTATCTTTTCTTCTTCGTCATCTTCTTCTTCTTTTTCTTCTACCTCTTCATCTTCTTCTCCTTCGTTTTTCTTCTTCGTCTCCTCCCATTTCTTCCTCTTCCTCTTCTTCTTCTTCAGCTCCTCCCATGGCGCTGAGTTACTGATGTCGGCGCGAGGGTCTGGCACTGTCTGTTCTTTATCAGTGACGGTGATTATGTAGAGAGAGAAAATTTACATGTGGACGGAGATGCAGAATATACATTGCATCAGGAGTTAATGAGACAAAGGAGTTTTTGGTACTGATTTCACTACATTTTTGTCGTACGAGTTCGATGTGAATAAAAATACAAATGTATACAAACACGAGATTCTTTTGTTCACTGGTCCTTATTCTATCTTCCGGTAGTATTACAAACCGCGTAACTTCCTTCGTTTTGACATAAATCATACTTTTGCACGACATGGTTTTCACGTTATTTACCGTCGTGTGGCGTTGCCAAGCCGCAAATTCTCGTGCACAGCAACTCGAAGGAGGCGCGGCAGGGAATTTAGGCCGTATAGTCTAGCCGAGTGCAGAAAATGCGCTTAGAGAAGCTTACTAGAAATATATAATGAATAATGAAAAAAAGGAAAAAAAGTTTCGTTGTGCCCATGCTGAGTTTAAAAATTAAAACTATTTTACATTTAAACTATAGTTAGAATGCCTTGTTTTTATGGTTAAATGCAGCAGTTTTTTTCAAAATAAACGCTGCGCTGGTAAAATATCTGAACTACTTCACCCGCGGAGGAATGATGTGTATGAATCTTAGCGAGTAAATTGACGCTCCAGCTGATTGTAGCTTTTCGCACATGTGTTTTGCATAGCAACCGTTACTATGCAATTGCAGGCAAACGCACGTGTTTACACCTTACTTATCATCACCAATAGTATGTGATAAAGGCGAGAGTTAACGTCGTCATCACCCGGCTTTGTTAGCCGAACAAAAACTTCTTCGAGAGATAACATACGGGGCCTAAATTCCCTGCCGCACCTCCTTCGAGTTGCTGTGCACGAGAATTTGCGGCTTGACAACGCCACACGACGGTAAATAACGTGAAAACCATGTCATGCAAAAGTATGATTTATGTCAAAACGAAGGAAGCTACGCGGTTTGTAATACTACCGGAAGACAGAATAAGGACCAGTGAACAAAAGAAGCTCATGTTTGTATACATTTGTATTTTTATTCACATCGAACTCGTACGACAAAAATGTAGTGAAATCAGTACCAAATACGAGTCAAACTCCTTTGTCTCATTAATTCCTGATTACATGCAATAAAGATTTAATTATGATAATAATAGATTGAATCTAAATTAGATGTGGATTGGATGTGGAAACGCCTCCCTGTAGCCTAACGCTTGGTTCCTTAATTACTGCCGAACATTCTGCTCGTTAGCGCGACGTTAACGATGTTCGTTTCTTCACACACAGCTTCATCAGAACATCATTCGAGATGTAACCTTCCTCAATAACAGTTGGCCTTGGGTCAAAGGTCAGAATGCACTCATGTCTGTGTCCACGGATGGATTGTGCAAGGTAAAGGGAGCGCGTGCGTTCGCGGGAAACCACTTGCTTTTGTTTATTTAGAATTTTAGTGACGCCGATACCAATGATTGATAAATGATAGGTGTAATGATTGATCGAATTATTGATTAATTGCACGAGTGTTTGGCTCGATAGCAATGCATCGATTACAAAGTAAAACATGATGGGTATCGCTGATAGTTCACCGAACAGTCGACAGTTTTCTGTCTTCGTTTATCTAATATCTTAGTACACAAATATGCTTAATTTAGTGGGGAAATGTTTGGGAGTATCTGGTTTTACATGCGTTTTTGATTTTGGTGCATATTTTTTGTAGGAATGACAATTTTTTTGGTTGATTTGATTCAGGATTTGAACAATCCTGGTTTGATTTTTGATTTGGTTCTTGATTTGTTTTTTTGAGGTTCGATTTACATTTTTTTTATATCGATGTGTTTTCTCACGCTTGTGTCGTAGGTGACGACGTTGGATGGTAGAAACCATATTCTTTATTTATCTATTATTTTGATATCGCATTTTGATATTGATTCTGATTTCATATTGATATCGTTGCGTGTTTTCTCACGCTTGCCTTGTATACGTAGGTGACAACGTTGGATGGGAGGAATCTGCACAGCATCGATGTGAAACACTCGTGTAGCACGGTGACTCCGACCCCGGAGCTGTACGGCTCCGCCGCCGACGAGGGCTTCTCAAGTACTGTATACCTTACCTACTCTATACGCTAGATATTTCGCGGTGGTTTAATTTTCGCGAATTTCGCGAATGCGCCCCCGACCGCAAAAATAACAACACGCGAATAATTCATACCGACCACGACCATTCACCGACCACGAAATTAACCACTCGCGAAATTGTCCGTCAAGTCGCGAAAATTAAACCACCGCGAAATATACAGCGTATACAGTAGGTGGCGGGGCTTCAGTTGACAACGCGCGCTCGGGGATTAAACGTCAGCGACAATGACAACTAAAGATGGAGCCATCGTCGTGACATACTCGTGACAAGACGTAGTCAACAACAATTTGTGACAAACGATGTCAAGAACTTTTGACAATACATCGTCAACAATTTATGAGAAAACATAGACAACAACCTGTGGTTCATCATCGTCACCAACAACTTGTGTCAATACATTGTCAACAGCTTATGACAAAACATAGAAAACTACAACAACAACTCATGGCAAGACGTATTCAACAACTTGTGATCATCACCAACAACTTATGACAAAACATAGAAAACTACAACAACAACAACTCATGGCAAGACGTAGTCAACAACTTGTGATCGTCACCAACAATTTGTGACAAACAGTGTCAGCAAGTTCTGAAAAGTCATCGTCACCAACACCTTGTGACAAAAAAATGTCAACAACTTATGAGAAAACATAGCCAACAACTTGTGATTCGTCATCGTCACCAACAACTTATGTCAACACGTAGTCATCAACTTGTGAAAACACACGGTCAACAACTTATGAGAAAACATACACAGCAACAACAACAACAACAACAACAACAACAACTTATGGCAAGTCATCGTCATAAACAACTTATTTTAACACGTAGTCAACAACCTATAACAAATGATTGTCATCAACTTATTATAACACATAGTCAACAACTTATAACAACACATAGTTAAAAACTTTTGTGATTGGTTGAAACTATTTTCTCGTGTGTGTTTGCAGGTGTGGTGATGCTGGGCGGGGATGTAGTAAGTGCCTATGTTCCCGATGTCGGAGTCAAGAAACCCTTACGGACCCACGGAGAAACATTCATCTGGAAACTCAGGTGTTTACCTACTCACACGCATGCACTCACGCACGTACATGCATGCACGTGCGCACACACATACACGTATGCACACGCACGCACGAGCACACACATCGCCACGTATGCACGCCACGCACCCACACGCCATGCACGCGTGCACGCACCACACGCATACGCACACCACAATGCCACGTACACACACATGCTTTTTAAAACACGCACGCACTGTGCGCACACCGCGCACCGCACGCACGCACACTCGCGACGCACGCGCGCACGCAACACACACTATTGCGCACGGATGCACCACGCACGCACGATGCACGACATGCACTCACCACACACACTCACACACGCACGCGTACACATGTGCACGCACACATGCACACACACACACACACGCACGCACATGCACACGCACACACATACATATAAACTCACATACACATACATTCATATATGTATATATACATGATTCTTATGTGTCTTATAATAATGTTTATGGTGCGTTATATATTACATGATATTATTATAATCGAGTCGAGAACAAGCTACCAGTATCTAACATCAGGATCGTCTTTTTTTTTATTGTGTAGTACACATCCAACGGTAGCACCTTATATACTGCCTGTGATAAAGGCGTGGTGAGAAGGTAGGTGTGCTAACGTTTGCATATGCTAACGAACTTAATTACGTTAAACAGGCTTTAATTGCCTGGACAAGTAACAACAACCTATCCCGCTCATTTTCGTGCGTACAGAAGTGACGACGTTAGACTTGCATGTCAAAAGAAACATTTCGAGTGAGTAAGTAATCTTCAGTGGTTGGATAATAAAAAACTAATAAATCTTCATTAAATTTTGTATTTTTTTAATGTTTTTGTTTGTTTGAATAATGACAGGTACCGGAGATACCCTGACCATCACGAATATTTGGGGGACGTCTACACTCACAGAAACGATATCGAGGGATATGGACATCTCCCCCTATGATGAGTGTATCCTTAACGAATCGCTTTCCGATTAACACGTTCTCCTTCTATCGTTTCATTGTCCTATAACCTTTCGCAGAATCTCTGTTAAAAATTTTAAGTTTGAGGTGTAATACACACCTCCTTTATCTTCTAAGTATTCAGATATGTTTACTAATTATAATACTACTACATATTATTACTATTTCTATAATACTACATCAGATACTGTTGCTAATACTACTACATATACATAACTAATTCTAAAACTACATATAAATTATTAATTTCATTACTGTAACATATACATTACTAATTCTAATACTACAACATATTAATTACAAATTCTATTACTACAACATATACATTACTAATTCTAATACTACAACATATACATTACTAATTATAAGTACTACAAAATATACATTACTGTAATTCTAATACGACAACATGTACATTACTAATTCTAATACGACAAACATATACATTACTAATTCTATACTGCAACATATTACATTACGAATTCTAATACTGCAACATAATGCATTACTAATTCTAAGTACTACAAATATACATTACTAATTCTAATAACTACATACATATACATTACTAATTTCTAATATACTGCAACATTATGCATTACTTATTCTAATACTACAACATATACATTACTAATTCGTTATAATACAAACATATACATTACTAATTCTAATACTACAACATAATGCGTGTACTAATTCTAATACTACAACATATACACTTAGTAATTCTAATACTACAACATAATGCGTTACTAATTCTATACTACATTACATTACAATCATATATTACATTACTAATTCTAATACTACAACATATACATTACTAATTCTAATACTACAACATATACATTACTAATTCTAATACTACAACATATACATTACTAATTCTAATACTACAACATATAGGCATTACTAATTCTAATACTACAACATATAAATTATTAATTTCATTACTACTAACATATACATTACTAATTCTAATACTACAACATATAATTACAAATTCTATTACTACAACATATACATTACTAATTCGTAATACTACAACATATACATTATCTAATATTCTAATACTACACATATACATTACTAATTCTAATACTACAACATATACATTACTAATTCTAATACTAGGTTGCTTGGTTACCGTATCTTGACTCGAGCCTCTCTCAGACTTGGTGACGGCGTCTAAGGATCGCAGCGTTGGGATACTGAAGCTGGGATCGCCGAACCACGGATGGACAGAGTACGGAGAACTAACCTGAGTCACCGGCAACGCCGCGCGTACGCTGGCGCGGAATAGGCAATTAGCGAGTAAAGTGATCAAGACTTAACGAACCCGAGCATCGGCGCTCTCGCCTCTCGTTTTGTCGTGCGAAACATAGAGGGCGCCGCGAGAAAGACGTTAAATTGTCGTTTGCGTATAAACGGGCGATAACGGATGTTGTTAATTGGAGGATGCAGGGACCACGCGGCGTGTTGTTACAGCGTGCGCGTGTGTAGGGAAGATGTGCAACTCTGCCGCGGAGTGATGCCGGCGACATCTAGTGGTGACCACGTGAACTGTTAAGCCAGTCTTCTAACATAAGCAACTCGCGTTCATCCCGTGATACGTACTCGCTGGAATCTTCTCTCGCTGACGAACGGGACTAGGTGGCGCCACCGCAGCTATCGCGACGCGAGAGGACGCGTTTACCATTTCGAGGCCCGTTTTACCGAGAGGGGACCCATTTTTGAGGGACCAATGAGCCTAACGCTAACTGTCTGTCATTTGCCACGACTGCCTCCCCCCTTCCCCCGATGCAAGAACCGCATGTGCCACCGACGACGATGATGCTACGAACGTGCTCGCGAAAATCGAGCGAGAATAAACTTCGGCCATCGGACGAATCGTGAACATTACGCGCGGCGAGGTTGCGATCGGGTTTCGGGACGAGATCTCGTGTGCGCGGAAATATTTTTCACTTGTCGCTGCCACGGCGATGCGCGCTGTTAGGACGGTGTGTACATATATTACGGTATTTTCTATATAAGTGTGTGTGCGATGTGTGTAGTGTTGTTTATACCCTGCTTGTGTCAGTCGCAATGGCTGAAATAACCGCCTAGAATCGTGAAATAGTATTTCTATACAATTGAAGGATGTGCAGTAGGGGTTATTATGATACATATTTTAAATATAGGAACAATTGGATGGAATCTGTATTGTGTTCGTCTTTCATTTTAGTAATGTTGTTCCACCACATACATTCATGGATGACTAAACCGACCATGCAGGCTCTCCAACTGTTACACGGCGGAGGACGTAGTGCCACGTACTCTCGGCCCTCTCGCCACGTAGGGTTATTAGCGAGATGGGAACTTGTGGCTAATGGATGACATGCATACACACACATGTTGGTTCAAGGATAGAGAACATGGGGCCCATTGAAACCTATGTCATTTTCGTAAATGTGGGGGTAGCCCCTTTAAAATCGACAGGGGATCTCTGTATATATGCAAGTCGCACATAGCACACAGTGTATATAGCATAGTGGCGCCATCTATCGGCAGAAAAAATCTTATTTTATTGGGACCCATGTTCTCTATCCTTGAGCCCACATTACATGTTCACCTCTGTGCATAATACATATACACGTAGCTGTTATGTATCTGTGATTTATAAGTTATCAAATAGTAACACAGTCAACCACATGGATTAACTGGGTTTAAATATTCCTAACCTTTTCGTTTACTAAAGGTGAAGCACTGTAACAGTTTTTCATTAATGTTGTTAATTACTATTTACTAATTCTGCACTCGGTATAAACCGACCAGGCCAACGTAGTGTTAATTAAGCGAGAAGGGAACTTGTGCAGGCAGAAAATATGAATTTACGCCTAAAATTCACGCGCACGCGTGCGTGCGACCATGCCCGCGTGTGCGCGTCCGTGGGTGTCTGTGTGTCCTGTGTGACTGTAAAAACGTGTATTATAGCCGTATATGATAATCATATTTTGTGCTTTGGGGGGTGAAAAAGTTGAGGCTGAAAACCAGCTATTTGCCTGGCTAACTTTTCACCGTGCAACTGATTCCGTGGGTGATACTATCCGCGACTGAGGGGAAGGGAGCTAAACGGAAGGAGGAAGGAGATAGGAGGGAACGGGAAGGAGTGCGCGTCCGTTCGCGTGTGCGTATATATGTGTTTTTTTATGACTGTAAAAACGCATATTATAGCCGTATATCCACATTTTGTGCTTTGGGGGGGGGGTGTGAAAAAGTTTTGGCTGAAAATACATATTTAGTTCCTATATCAACCTAGAGATGGCGCTTTCAGTACTTTATAAAATGGCGTGAACCTTGTTATGTTTCAGTGAATTTAAAACATTAAAACAAAAAATTAAACCAATTTCTTGCTGTATGATACTCGCTATGAAAAGTGGGAAGACTTTAGACATTCCATAGTTACGAGGTAAGCTTTCTCCATAGCCCTATGATAAAGTTAGCATGGCACTTGGCCACTCT